CCCTCCCCGATTCCACCCGTCTCACACCTTGGCCCGGCCCCGCCATGCTCTCCCACGCCCCTTCGCTCCCATACTCGCCCTGCTGTCTCTCGCCACACACTGACCCGACAATGATGTGTCCCAACTGACAAACGCACCTCTGGGCGCCGTTTGACAATCGTCCAGTGTGACACTTGGGGCCTTGCTATCACGGCAATTGAAATGGCCGAGATGAGCCCCCCCTTGGCGGACATTCACCCCATGCAGGCCCTCAACATGATCCCGTCGCGTGTGTCGCCCACCCTGACCCATCCCCGGCGGTGGTCAAAGAACTTCCGCGACTTCCTGCGCTTCGCCCTGATCAAGGACTTCTCCCACCGGCCAACGGCCGAGCAACTCTCCGCCCATGTCTTCCTGACCACTGCGCACCGGTCATACACGCTGCCCGGAGGGCATTTCGGCGCCCCGAAGGTCCAGCAGCATGTGCTCGCCGAGTATTTGGAGCGCTTCTTCGAGGAGATCACCGAGGAGCAGCAGTTCCAGAGTGCCATGCATGCGCAGCAACGCGACGCCGCACTTTGTCGCGAGGCCCGCCTGACCAATGGTGATGGTGTCACGTCACCGGATGTGACACTCATCAGCGATCCAGCCAACCACAAGCACCAGTACCAGCAGCAGCAGCAGCAGCAGCAGCAGCAGCAGCAGCTGGGTGACCAACTCGCGCGCAAGGTTTCCGTTTCGCGCCGGTCGCGGGTCACCGGTGTCAGCGAGCAGGTATCCGGCGGGGACTTTGCCTCGGATCCCCTCTTCCGACCGGTTCTCTCGCCCACCGAGCCGTACTATGTTGAGGGCGACCATGCCGGGCCCGGTTCCCATGCGGCCGGGGGAGCCCTTCATCAGCACTTGCCCCCGAAGCCCGGCTCCTCGTCGCATCAGGCTCCCCTCCGGCCACACACCATCATCTCCTACAGCAGCCCGCACTTTGACGCGGGCCTGCGCCCGACCGGCGCCGACCAACTTCCCCCCAAGCAGAGCCCCTCGCGTCCCGTGTCCATGGTCTCCCCTGCCGGTGTAGGGGGCAGCAGCCCCGGCACCGCGGCCCAGATGGACTTCGCCCTGCCAGACAAGCCGCAGCCCCGCGGTGATGGCCCAGCCCGCAACATGGTTTCCGCCCTGGAGGCGGCCGTGTCCGATGTCGAAGCCATCAGCCGCATTATGACCGAGGTGTCGGTTTCCTCGGCCGCGAGTGGCTCTGGAGCGGCCGACCCCACCGGTGCTTCGGCGGATTCCAGCGTGCCAGCCATCGACGAGGATGACGAGGCCCTGTACGATGCGGTCGTCCGTCGCCGGCCCTCCTTGTCTGGGTCCGCGCGCTCGGGAGTTGGTGGGAGCGCCTTCTCGCGCGGCACGACTCGCCTTAACCCGCGCGCTACGCCGGATGCGCATCGCTGGGGCACCTCATCCAGCTGTCCGGACACCCTTCGCGAGCTGGAGTCGATGGTCCTTGGCCCGACGGATCTGTCGCACTATTTGTCCGTCCGCCTGTTGATCCTGGCGCGGAACTTCGAGTTCGAGATCCTGTGTTGCTCGCGCTGGGGTATGTCGACCGCTCTCGATGCGCCCCTGCATCCCCGTTGTCCTGTCTCTCCGTCTTCTCTCTATTTCTCCCTCTGACCTGGTCGTGCTTCGTTTTCTTTCCCTTCTCGCCCGTGGCGACGCCAATGGCGCCAACTCTGCTGCCCGCCTTCCCATTGGGTACGATGGTTCGACCAACAGAAAACTCCTACCTCATTGGCACACCGAAGGGCCTGTTCCAGCTCACCGAGGGCGGCGGAGTCATCACCCTGGTGGCCGACAAGCGCTTCGACAAGTTGATCGTCCTCGAAGCATATGGCGTGCTGATGGTCATCAGCGGCCGGGAGCGGCAGATTCGCATGTACCGCCTGGACGTGCTGGCTGCCCTGGCTGCCGGAGAGGAATTGCCCGTGAACGACATTGCCCCGGCCTCTGAGCAGCGTGGGGGCAGTCGTACCGAGCGCCTGACTTCCGGACTATCATCGCTGCGCTTCAATCTCCGACGCGCGGATCCGGTCTACGTGACCTTGGCCAACACCAAGGACACATACCACATTTCCGTCGGTGCGTGTTGGGGCTTCCCTTGTGCCTTCTCAGCTTGTGGAAGGGTAGGAGGCGGGGAGGGATGGGGGGGGGGAGGAGGAGAGGCAGAAAGGGAAAGAGAGAGAGCGAGAGAGATATTTTCCCGCCTGCTGTGGCTTTGCTAACCGGCTTGCCTGCATGTTCCGGCCCTATGGCGACAGTCCGCGCGCGCAACACGGCCTTCCTTGTGGCCGGTGTCAAGCACTCGATCTTTCTCTTCATGTGGGCCGAGTATCCTTTCAATAAGTTCATGAAGATCAAGGAATTCTACTCGCCGGAGAAGGTCCGGTATGTGGAGCCGATTGTCAGCCGACCGGTCCCCGGGACCGATGCCCACAGCAGTGGCTCCCGGACCAAAGCCAGTCGCGAGGTCCTTCCCTCGGTCCTTGTGGCCCCCTCTTCGCCGAGCCCGAACCCGGCGGCGCGCATCGTCGCCCTGGCGGTTATGTGCGTCAGCCGATCGGTCTTCATCAACATCGACACGGCCGAGGTGGTGCCCTTCGCCATCACCGACAAGACTGGACCACCCATTTCGATTGGCCCAATCAACACCGATGGGGCTCTGTTTGCTGCCTTCCAGCGTATGTCACACGGATGCGCGCACACACGCACACACGCACACACGCACACATCATCTCCTTGCATGCTCTCTCTCTCTCTGCCCCTCCCAACGACTGACACACACACACACACACACACACACCACTACTTTCCTCCCCCCCGGGCTCCATCTACAACAGGCGGCTGCCTCTATATTGATCCCCTCACCTTTGCCCCGATCAGTCCATTCGTCCAGTGGAAGACCTCCCCCACCTTCGCCCTGCCATTGGGGCAACTGGTTGTCTGCTTCCTGGCCGGATCGATGGAAGTGTATGACTTCCGCTCGGGCGATCTGCTGCAGACCATCCGTCGGTCAGTGCCGCAGTACCAGCCCACATCCATTCTCAGCCGCGTGGGTGGCATGGTCAGCGGGTCTGGGTCCTCGTCGGCCGGCGGGTCCGGCCAGGGGACCGTCAACTCCTGGCGCCGGGTGCAATTCCTCATGCTTCAGGGCCAGACCGATCTCATCATCTCCACCTTCAGCTCGGTGCCATCCTCCTCTGGGACAGTGGCTGGCTCTGGGCCACCCTCGGCCACGGATCTGCCCGAAGCGAATGGTGCTCTGTCTGCCGAGCCCACAGCACCCTCCTCGCCGGCACCCTCGAGTGTGTCCTCACGTGTGTCGGCTCTGCGGTCTGGCTTGGCTGGAGCCTTTGGCGGGAGCAGGTCCTCCAAACCATCCAGCCCGGTGACGCCTGTCGCGTCAGATACCCCCCCGGAGCTGAACAGCAGCACGGGCTCCATTTCTTTGGCCGTGGCCGACGAGGAGTCCGCCATGTCGGCCGGAGGTGGGAATGGCGCATCGTCAGTTTCCTCGGCCTCGGCTTCACCATCCTCCTCCTCCTCCTCATTGGCTTCTACCTCCTCCTCCTCCTCCTCTTCCTCCTCCTCCTCCTCGGCTGCCGGCCGCTTCTCAGACATTTGCGTTCTTCGCCTGTCGGAAGACAAGCCCATCTCCTTCTACTACCAGGAGCTTTAGACACTGGGGGACTCCCTACCTGGCCGGATGGCGGTGATCAGTCGCGCCCCTCCACGACTATGTGTGGGTGAGCGCCGGTGTGGAGATGTGTGCCTGTACCTGGGCGCTGGCAGGGCTCTGACCAAGGAAGGGGCTAACCCCCCCCCCCCCCCCCCCCC